TAGCTAAAGCTTGAAAAAGAAAAACAAAACTGGAAGTATCTAAATCTCAGACTTCAAGTTATATTACAAAGTAATTACAAAATTAAAACAGTATGGTACTGGCATAAAAACAGACACATAGATCAATGGAAAAGAAGAGAAAACCCCAAAATAAACCCATGATTATATGGTCAATTAATCTTCGACAATGGAGGAAAGAATAACCAATAGGAAAAAGTCTCTTCAACAAATGATGTTGAGAAAACTGGATAACCACATGGAAAAGAGTGAAACTGGACCACTTTCTTTCACCATACACAAAAATAAACATAAAATGTATTACAGACCTAAATGTGAGACCTGAAACCATAAAAATCCTAAGAGAGCACGGGCAGTAATCTCTCTAACACTGGCTGTAATAACATTTTTCTAGATAAAGTCTCTTGAGGCAAGGGAAATAAAAGCAAAAGTAAACTACTGGGACCATATCAAAATAAAAAGCTTCTGCACACTGAAAGAAACAATCAACAAAACTAAAAGGCAACCTACAGAATGGGAGAAGATATTTGCAAAGGACATATCCATTAAAAGGTTAGTATCCAAAACATATAAAGAACTGATACAACTTTATACCCAAAAAACAAATAATCCAATTAAAAAATAGGCAGAAGATATGAACAGACATTCCTCAAAAAAAAAAAAAAAAAAAAAAAAAAAAAAAAAAAAAAAAAAAAAAAAAAAAGACATACAGATGGCCAACAGACACATGAGAAGAGGCTCAACATCATTCATCATCAGAGAAAGGTGAATCAAAATTACAATGAGTTATCATCTCACACCTATCCAAATGACTGAAGTCAAAAACACAAGAAACAAGTGTTGGTGAGGATGTGGAGAAAAAGGAACGCCCTTGTGCTGTTGGTGAGAATACAAACTGGTACAGCCACTGTGAAAAACAGTATGGAGATTCTTCAAAAAATTAAACACAGAACTACCTTATGATCCAGGAATCACACTACTGAGTATTTACCCAAAAAATACAAAAACATTAACTCAAAAGGATACAGTCACCCCTATGTTTATTGCAGCATTATTTACAATAGCCAAACTATGGAAGCAGCCCAAGTGTCCACTGAAAGATGAATGGTTAGGGGCGCCTGGGTGGCTCAATCAGTTAAGCATCTGACTTCAGCTCAGGTCATGATCTCAGTTTGTGGGTTCGAGCCCTACACAGGGCTCTGTGCTGACAGCTCAGAGCCTGGAACCTGCTTTAGATTCTGTGTCTCCCTCTCTGTTCCTCCCCCACTGATGCTCTGTCTCTGTCTCTCAAAAATAAATAAATATTAAAAAAATTTTTAAAAAGAAAGATGAATGCTTAAAGAATATTATTAGAATATTATTCAGCCATAAAAGAAGAATGAAATCTTGCCATTTGCAACATGGATAGATCTAGAGAGTATAATGCTAAGTGAAGTGAGCCAGTCAGAGAAAGACAGATACCATGTGAATTTAAGAAACAAAATAAATGAGCAAAGGAAAAAAGAGAGAGAGGCAAACCAAGAAACAAACTCTTAACTATACAGAACAAACTGATGATTACCAGAGAGGAGGTGGGTTGGGGACTGAAGGAAATAAGGGATGGGGACTAAAGAGTACACTTACCATGATGAAAAAAATACAAAATAAAAATACAAAATAAAATAAAATAATAAAATAAAATAAAATAAAATAAAATAAAATAAAATAAAAACTGGGATTTAAAAGTTGATTAGGAGCTATGAGTATATGTTGTCTTTTTGACTGCAAGATTATCTGTAAGGGTGGTCAGATAGTGCTTTTGTATAAGTACCTTTAAGTCTATGTTCTAGAGGACAAAGGGATATAACATTGGGATTTTCACCATCAGTGTACCTATTTTCACTTAATCTATATTTGGAATGGTACTCTGGTACCTGTTCCTTTAACTTAAGTCTTGTCCCCAGACAACAAACTTTCCATTTTTTTGTCTCTCCAGAGAATAGTCTTTTGCTTACATGGGAAGGGGCAGTTACCATGAAGTGTGGAAAGGGGCTTTCCAGCAGTCACGACCTCCTCACAAGAACATGCCCCCTCAGGAAGGCCCTCTTCCACCCGCCCTGGAAGAGGGGAAGAAGCAGCACAAAAAGAAGTGCCTGGTGCAGAGCTCCAGCTCCTGGTAGATGTATGTGAAGTGCCCAGGATGTTATAAAATCACCACTGTTTTTAGCCATGCCCAAAAGGAATTTGTGTTGGCTGCTCTACTGTCCTTTGCCAGTCTATGGGAGGAAAAGCAAGGCTTACAGAAGGGTGTTCCTTCAGATGGAAGCAGCACTAAAAGCACCCTGAATCAAGAGGAGTAGGAAACTATCCCCATAAACACGTTTTGATTAAATGAATGAATGAATGAATGAATGAGAAAGAGAAAGAAAAAGGAAGGAAGGAAGGAAGGAAGGAAGGAAGGAAGGGAGGAGAGACAGAAAGAAAAAGAAAAGAGGGAAAGAGAAAGAGAGAGACAGAAAGAAAGAAAGAGGAAAGAGAATAAGATTTTCATACCACCAAATTCTGATCCTTTTGAAGATTCCAAAGAGCAAATTGGTTACTTCTTGGCTTTCCAATTCAGGATTAAGATATCAAAGTATTGCTAAAAACACAAGTTATTGCTGGTATTTCTTCCCAGGTCCTAAAATGTTTTTGTTATCCCCTCCCCTCACTTTTTCCCCCCTTTCCTTGAAAATTTAAGCCTTTTAAAAAGTATCCCTTTACTGAAGTTTTAGTTTCCAGAAGGAAGTGAAATTAAACTCAAGTTTTTATCCTAATATCTCTACCCTCAAAATCCTAGTATTTTAAGCAGAAAATTTTCTTTATAGAAGATTTTGGAACCAAATAAAAAGGGAAAAAAAAATCCCATACTTAATCTATAATATTAGATAAGAATGCAAACTTTAAAATTGTATTCATGCTATAATTGTGAATATAAAAAAATTATGTGTGTACATAAACTAGGGTTCAACGAGAACAAAAAGGCAGAGCTGCATTTTCCTTTTTTTGTCCCCAATTCCATAATAGATTGTACTTATTGAATTATTTTATATTTTATCTTTAAGCTTATGTTTTGTGAGCAAAAACCACAAAAATTTCTGCTGTTTAACATTTTTATTTAAAAATTTTGACAAAAAGTAACTCTAGCATATAGTGATATGCCATATTCAGAAGTCTGTAATACAAATGATAGGAACTTGATATTTACCCTATGCCAATAAAAATAATACTATGTCGATTTTTTAACTCATGGGGAATAAAGCACACACTGAAAAGAAGAAAAGTATTCTGGGGCATAAGGTTCTACTTCAGTATTGACATATAACCTAGATAGTACATGAACATAACAGACATGATATAAACTCTAGAAGTCTTAGTATATAAAGGAATATTTCTCTTTTATCCTTTTATTCTCCAAATGGGGTAAAGACAGTAACAGCTGGTTATCCTTTTGTCCTCCAAATGGGGTAAAGGCAGTAACAACTGGAAATAGACTGTAAAATCGGACTGAACTAATTGAGTGTATATCCATCTTTTAATAAAGGCCAGGGAGAGGAGGCTGAACTGAGGTGATCTATGCAATCTCCCAAATAAATCCTGATACCTTAACACAGGCAACACACAATAAATGATGCTTATGCTTCTGTTACAAAGATTATGACATTATCAGGGATTATAACATGACTTCTGTTTTATTTCTATACAGTATACCAAACACAAACTGACAACCCATTTTAATATCTTGTAAAACAATGAATAAATGTTCTTTCATTCTTGGTCTTACGTGAATGATAGAAATAATGAGACAGTACGAAAAAGAAGAAAAGCAGAAGAAAATAGAAGACAAGAACATTCATAAATACCAGGAGATGACCCACTGAATAAGAATGACTTTTAACACTGTGTGTCATCAATGCTAAAAAAAATCTAGCTGTCTCATGAAAAGAAATTAAATCTAAACATGTTGCTATTTTTAAGAAAAAAAGACTTTTAAAATTTAGCTCTGATAAATAATCTCTGTTCCTTTAACTTGAAGCCAATGCAAAAGTAAAGTACTGAGATCAAGACTTTAATATGCAGTATGTAAGAACGTGAGCTTTCAGTTAGAAAATCCAAGGTTAGAGTCCTGGTGCTTCTGTTTCTTTATGTATAAAATGGGTATGATTAATAGAATTTGCTTTAGCTGTTATATTTAGTTATGACAAAACATCATTTGGCTTCATTGTTCCCAGAATATGAAATTTATTATGAATATGGTTGTGGGGGTAGATTCAGACCAGGAATTGTAACTTTATATCAAGAATCATGGGAAGGGAGGCCAGAAAGAAGAGTATCATTAATGATACAGAGAAAAATAAAACAGAGAAAAGAGATAGGGGTGCTGGAGTCATCAGTCCCCTTCTCTGTTATGACTGGGCTGGTCTGCTTCCATCTGCCTTCTGATTTTCAAGGATTTCTCAGAATATTTTCTAATGCTGTTATAAACATATTTTTATGAAAAAGTCCTCTCTCATTTTGAGGGATTTTGTAAAAAGAGGGGGGAAAGCCTTAGTCTGCTAGATTCCTTTTTACCTGATGAGCAAATAGTTTACATAAAATGTAATAAATTACCGACTTTATTTTTGTCCTGGAAATACAATACTTGATTTCAAGACTGTCTCTCATATAAGAATACTAAAGTCAAGTGGAAATCATTCTAAATATTTGACTCTAATGAATAATATACAAGTGTAAATTTTAAATTTTGATAAATAAAACAATGAGGGAAGCAAAGCAGCTCCAATTACAAACAATTCAATCATAAAATATAATTGGATCTACTTTTTTAAACATTGAAGCAAGCCAAATGCTGCCAAAAAATAATACAATCTATGTGGATCTTCAGGTTGTTAACATCTAAAGGAAAATTTATTGTAAGTACACTGATAAGTGAATTACATTTGTGGTTCATGGCTAGGACTTACCAAGTTCTGCTAAGTTGCCAAATGCAACAAGACACATTTCTGTAAGAGCTGCATTTTGGCAATGGATGCCCAGTAATTTCACTAAGGTAGGTATAACACCCATATTGATAAGCTGAGCTTGAAGGGAATCTGTAAGAAACAAACAAACAAACAGAAGTGTTTATGTATCAAATGGACATTAGTAAGAAGAAAACACCTTATTCTCCCTATTGCAAACTCAATACTATTTCAAGTACAGTAAAACAACATTAAGTTCATCCATATAATTATCTGAAACATTTTAAAACATTAGTTCACAAGAGTTGAGTTTTGAATCTTTTCAATGATTAAAGGAAATTTAGAAATGAAATAATGTGTCAAATCATTTTTTTAAAACAGGGTCTTATACTTTTGTAGAGCAGGCTTTAAAAGTGCATAAATAATTAAACATTACCACTGGTTGTTAAGTGAAAATGTTAGTCAAAGTAATATTTGTATTATAGGAAATCAGACTATATGAAAAGCATAGAGAAACCAATTTAATAAAGACCAAGAGAAAGCAGAATCTTAGAATCTTTTAAAAATAGTTGCTTCATAATAATGAAAAGTATATATAATACACAAAAATTATTTTGATCATTTGCACCAGAGCGTTCTTCGATGACTGCTAGGAAGGAAAGTAGTTTTAACAAGGAAAAAATGTATTACTTAAAATATTTTTCTTTTCAACGTTTTCTTTAATAATAGTGACAAGCATCTTAGTAAAGAAAGGAAAATTTGGCTTGAGAGGTGAAGAGAATGAGATCAATAAGCTTTGTCATCATTGTTTGCCTTCATTTTCTAAGAAACTAATTGGTTTTAAAGTATTTAATATGCCTTGGATTTCCACAATGGTCTTCATGAACAATTATGATAGAATACCTGTACCAAAGCTGAAGGTAAATAAACCAAATGAAAATCAAAAGTACTGCCTCTCAGAATAAGCTAAGAAAAACATCAACACATGCTTATGCAAAACACTTACTATTAATAACTGTTTCACCCAAAGATACAAGAATGCTTTCAAAATTTTTAAAAATTATATGCCATTTTTAAGATAATAATTTTCTCCAAATTCTTTTAAGTTCCCTATTGGGAATCTAAAGATAAAAATCCTGTTTATTACAAACACATTTTCCTTTTAGCATGCATCCCTTGACAGTTTGCCTAATAACCCTTCATCACTCTTCATAGTTCTTAACCAATAGATAAGGAGGCAGTTGGGTGATTGTCAGAAAAGAACATGAAGGCCCTTGAGCTGCCTCACATTCCAGTTGATTGTATAGCCTGGCAGTCTCGGTGGTTAATTTTTCCTATTTTCAGCGTAAAGTATGAAGAGACAGCCAACAGAGGCTTATCACCCTGAAAACTGATGAGTGTATGCATAGTAGCTGGTTCAGTTGTTGGGGGCCCATCTATCTTAGAAAGGGGCCTATCACCAAAACAAGAAAACAGCCCTGAGAAAAAGGGAAGTTTACATTTAGAGTTCAAAAAATCTGAAGCAATTTCAAATTTTGCAATGGAGTTATGAAATCTGTTATAAAAGGAGACAGAAATAAAAGAATATATTCAACTAAATGATGTTTTTATGCTTTTGATGCTAAATATTTTCTTCTTATACAACTCAGCAACTGATGAATGATTCGCACTATTAAATTATCTTATAAGGTATAAGGTATTATTAAATTACTTATAAGGTATAGTATTAAGTGTTATACTGGCAGAAAACTTGTATTGTGGCCACAGTATTTGTAATGATCATGCACCAATAAGCCTTCCAAGTTAGAAATTATTTTGATTACTTACCAGTAAGTTCCTTATTATTGGATCACCTTTGCAGATCTTTGTTCTTTAGCAGTATTTTTAACTTTCATTTATTTATTTACTCATTTTGACTACCTCTTCAAATACTGCAGAGCTGTTGAATCATTAAATTTCAGGTATGTAAGCGTGAGCACTAGCGCATGCATTGAGTGTGAGTCAAACTCCACTGTATGTCTGCATATATGTAAGCATCACACACCCCCTCAGTACTGTTGGTACAAACTATACAAATCCAACAGTCCAGGGACATCAGAGGAATAACAAATGCTATGAAGGAGATAACTCAATAGGAGAATGCCACTTAGAAGATGATGTTCTTCATATTCTCCTAACTTGGCATCTCTACCACTTTCTTGGACTGCTCTTAAGGTATGAATTTTGGTTCCAGGGAAATGAGGGGCAAAAAGTTAAGAAATGTTGCATAGTTTCATAAAATCTTTGGCATACAAATTGAAGCAATAATATTTGAAATTATAGTAGATCAGGAGAAAAAGTATAGCCCAATGGCATTTGGTGTAAATCGCCACAAATCATGAAAATCACTTTGTTTTGGGAAAATGTGTTTCAAAGCTACTCAGGAGCCAAATTAATTGTATACTCACATACAACACACATACCACACACAAGTAAAGAGAAAAATTATATAGTCATCCAATGGACATACCCATTTTTGATCACTTGGGTGTTTTCTTTTATATCCACTTCTATGAGGCTAACTAAAACAAAAATTATACTCAAATAACTCTAACGTCTGTTTATACCAACTGCAGGCAAGTCATTCTCCCTGGATAATGAAGGCCCAAATGAGGAAAAAAAAAACTTTACTCAAACAGATTGATACAAATTTTCATTTCAAGATAAGCAGGCATCCTAGAACACGGTTCTCAAAATGGAGTCCCTAAAACCCTTTCAGAGGATCACAGAATCAAAACTACTTTCATAAAAATACCAAGATTTTATGTGCCTTTTTCACTGTATTGATATTTACCCAATGGTACAAAAACAATGGTGGGTAAAACCGCTGGGCTTTATTATGACCCAGTCGGTGGCACCAAATTGTGTTGGTAGTCATCATATTCTTCTGCAGCACACATTCACAGTAAAATAAATGCTATTCTTCTCAGCAATATATTTAATTTTGCATTTAATTTTTAAGTAGGTTGCATGCCGAAGGTGGGGCTTGAACTCATGACCCTCAGATCAAGAGTCATATGCTCTACTGACTGAGCCAGTCAGGTGCCCCAGCAATATTTTTAAAATTGAAGTTATTTTGCATAAAAAGATGCGGTAACATGAGCTATTATTTTAATATGCAATATTAAATAATTTTTAAAATTGTTTCCATTTTAATTTCTAATATGGTAGATATTGATAGATGTAGCTCATTTTTTTAATAGTCCATATTTATAAACAAAAGTTCTATAGGGTCTTCAGTAATTGTTAAGTGTCTAAAAGAGTTCAGAGACCAAAAGTTTAAGAACCACTGCCAAAGGATTACCTACCTTTTAGAGAAGATTGAAAATAAAACAAAACATGGAATAGAGATTCTGAAATTCAATGATGTGCTTGGCAGATGAGATAACAGGAGAAGAAATAAAAATTAAAAGCATGGTAGGAATACTAGATTTTGGTGTTCAGATATTTTAACCAAAATTACATTAAGCACCTGAACATACTATTTTGCTTATTTGGGTAGAAATTCTACTTAAGCTTAGGGGACTATTCCATGATTGGGTCTATTTGCCTATTTCAGTTACAACTTAGTATGTTAGCTAGCAACAGTTTTTTGGAGGGTGGGGTGGGGGTTAAGTAGAATAAATTGTGTGGAATAAATTGGTATTAATTCTTATTGCTGGAAGCAAATGATGAAGTTTAATCACTTTCTTATTGCCCAAAGAAAGCTTATGAATGGTCTTCAAAGGATAGTAGGTGACACGCTCATGTTATTATGAATGGTTATCAGGAGTATGACTTTTAAATCAAAGACTAACTGGAAAAAATTCTTAGAACCAGAAATGGTTCACATTCTCTAGAATTGAAAAAGTGAAACAGTCCAAGACTGAGAAGTTTTGTATCCTTCAATGAATACCAGCAACTCCAGGGGAATGTTTATCAGAGCTCAACAAACACAATTCACAAAATGCAACCCAGGCTCGTACATAGCAAACACTTATGTGTGAAAGACAGTCTTTAGACAGCACGATGTCATAAACGTCTGAAGACTTTTAAAAACTGCTCCTGACACACATCACAGACAAATACTGACCAAAATACAGAATTACAAAATATCAAGATGACACAGGCCCTACATGATCTATGGGGAGGAAGAGGAAGAAAGGCACTGAGGGGGTGCAATACAGATGCATATACAAAGAGATATAAGGCAATCAACGCATGCGCTGGTGTGAACACTTACCTACCTACATTTGAATTTCAATGGTTCCAAGTTCTTCAGGTCACACTCATGGAAACTCCAAAGAATGGAGATCTGGAGAGAAGATCTTAAGTTGAAGAACCTTTTTCCCCCTGAGTTTTAAGTTTAATGTTTAAAACATTGGTATAGATAGATTATAGGTCCAGAAAAGAATCCCAGTAACTCAACTGAAGTTACGTTGATCAATTACTATAAAGAATTAGTTTCTTAAGAAGACTGTAACACATGTTTACCTTATTTACAAGAAAAAGGCCCTTATAGACAATGTTACAAGATTAAACTTATTGGTAAACAGGATTTAATGATGAAACTGTGTCAAATAAGATATACACAACTCAAAATACATAGTCTCTACATTAGTATGTATAAATAGTATGTATACTATTCATAGTATAAAGAATACAATATTCCTATTTACAGGCTTGCATAAAAGCCCCATCTACAATCAAGTGAATTATATACAGCTGAAACAACAAAAACAAGCAAATATAAATCTTGATGAAGAGTTGTAATACAAATTGGATAAAAGCCATTTAAGAATAAAGACTGAAGAAAGTGCACCTAACTATTGGCCTATATATACTTCCAAAAAAGGCTACAAAAATTAAAAATGATGTAAAACAGTGAATAGAAATGATAAGTTTAAACAAGTTGTAGTGAATATAATAGTGAAAAGAAAACTGACTTTACAGCTACCAAGAGGATGATTCATGGTTAAAAACTTTACACATACACATGTGCAGGAATAAGTAGACTTCCTTTTCAGTTTCTTATTACTTAGTATTTTTTTGCTGACTGGTCAGGAAAGTGGAGAACTTTTATTCTAAACCTAGTGTTGAGCATATAAAAAAGT